GTGTCGGAAAGGTGTCGGGGTCATCTGCGACGTCTTCTGGAAAGAGTCACGTTCTTCCTTCACGCCTCATAGAAATTAGATATTTAGGAGACAACAAGTATGTGTCTGTCTCCTCATAAATATCATCAACCTGAAATGCCCTGCCTCCTCCTATCACAGCAAGAGGCAGCTGCAAGGTTGTACACAGTTCAGAGCCACACATAGTATCAGTGCATTAAAACAAACCCATAAAGTGGAGACAACAGTATTTCTCCAACAGTTACAGAAGCCAAAACATCGTTATGACATCATAAAGTGGCCAAAATCTGATCAGCTCATTTTCAGACAGGTTTTTATATAAATGGATGAGGACAAAAAGTGAGCGAATCTTTTTCCCTGAAACTTTCAGAATCTCTTAATGCAGAGGGGACATATGTTTAATACATACATGAAAAAGTGGCCTTTGCACAATAGGTCACCTTTAAATATAATAATTTCATGTTTTTGTATTAATTCTCTGCACAGTTCACCTGTGGGCAGAAATCAGTTTTGAAACAACTTTCGTTCCATTTAATGTAATTGTTTTGTTTTGATCTTTTTAGTGAACTTATGTAGTTCAAATATTCCAGTATGTTTTCCTTTTTGATTTTGTTCAAGGCTGTTTCAAAACCTTCTTCTTCTTTACAATACTTTAATCACAGCGCAACAATGTATTATTATCTGGCCTAATGAAACCTACAGAAAATGATTGCAAACACACATTAAACATGATAAATACATATGATATGATAAATACAATGATAGGGTGGGCTTGCATTGTACCTCTCAGATAGATGCAGCACATTATCACCTCCTCTCTGAGCCTGTTTGGGTGAGAAAATGTGCATATGTGTAATCTAATATTTAAAATAGCTAACCTAAGGCATGCTAACTAACACTCTTAAGAACGTGTTTACATTTGAATTGCTATATCTCAGTGTACACATCTCAAATGAGCTGTAAATATTTATATTCACGCTTAAGAAACCTTAACTTTAACACACAGGAGTTTTGGTTTTGTACAAATTGTATCGACTTATTCGTAAACAGTTTTCTCTATCTGTCTCATTTAGATGGTTAGATGTTTGAAAACATAATTTCACAGCTCATGGGGCTTTATTTCAGTGCTGCACTCGTGTTTCCTCGTTTGTCATGGTTCTCACTGATCTCATTTTTCAAAATGACATCAAAACAACATTTTGTTCTCCGCACTAATAATCAGATCACCAGTTGTTTGTATTGTTTTATACATGGCACGCAGTGAAATGTGCACATCCTGATTGTATGTGACGAGTGTTTGGTGTGAGCCGAATTGCTCATCATCAGATTAGGAGATAAGCAATTCTGCGTGAAGATTTCTTTTTCTTATTGTCCTTTGGGTCTGATTCACAGGCATAAAGTTGAATGATTTCCTGTGTTTTAAAGATGTAGTGATGTGAGAAAGATGGAGAAAGAGCATTAAAGGGTGAGGGATGGAGCGAGACTAGAGCGGTGGAGCTGTAATCCTCCTCGTCTTGGTGGGGAAGTTCAGTGTTTAAACAGCGAGTGATGAGCCGGGGCACAAACCTTCAGGATGGATCTCTGAGATTAAAGCGCCCGATAGCTGCTCTCACATCACACCCCCCACCATCAGGGGGGATTCATTTACTCACACAGAAACACGGGGCAAAGGAGAGAGCAGGGGGGAGAACTGACAGCAAATGGAAAGCAGAAGCCTGTCTGGAGGCTTTGTAGGACTTGAAAGCATTTGAACTCTCTGAAGGGATGTGGTTCGGTGTAGAGACGACATACCGAGGGGAGATGTACAGTATATGCTTATTGCCTGTTTTCCCCCCATCTTTAGACAAAAAGAGATTGTGATAATAACCCAAAAACTATTGGAGAAAAAATTAAACGAGCAAATGGAAGCAATCAGGTCACATAAGGGGGTCTTTATGTAGTTACACTTCCCTGCACTGTGACAATTAATACATTAAACAATGAACAAAGAGGCTGGTACCAAATCTGCACTGGCTGTCCTTAAAGACACAATCAAAGGTCACACATAATAACTCCGGTTCTTTAAAATACAAGCTGCTAATAATCACCAAAAACACCACAGAGCATTGCAATCTGCAGGTTAGCAGGAATAGCTTTAACCTCAAAATAGGACCCTAAAAAACCTTTAAAGGGGGCATATTATGCTTTTTTCAGGTTCATATTTGAATTGTAGTGTCTCTATTCTGACATGTTTCCATATTTTAATGTTCAAAAAGCTCTTTATTTTCCTCATACTGCCTGTGCTGCAGCACCTCTTTTCACCCTCTGTCTGAAACCAGAGCCCAGTTTCGCCGGCTCTGTTGTGATTGGTCGACCACTTAGAGATGTCCCGCCCCTTAGCCTGTCACGTACAATGTGTTGGAGCATATTGGAGCATTATATATACAGTCTATGGTTGGAGCGCTAGCCGATAGAAGCTCAAGTGTTACATAGTGATGGCATTATGTTACGGAAGTAAACAAAGGAGTCCAATGGAGGTGTTTCTCTCCCTCTGGATTGAACTTTTGGGATTTTCAGCATTTGCAGACCATTTATATGCACAAAAACCTATAGAAGTCACTAAATGATAGGGAAACCTCAAAACATGCATAACAGTTCTTAGTGAAAAAACGTTTTGATATAAGTTTGTGTTTTTTGTTGTATTGCATGATGCCTCTCGTGAAAAATAAATCTGTAGTCATATTGAGAAAGTTCTGACCTCACTTCTACAATCCCCTCTGGTGTTTAACAGGTGGATGTGTGATGGAAGGCTGTTCAGCAACTTTGTACCGTCGGGGGGAAAAAAGCTTCCGGCAACCATATTTACTCAAGACGGACATACTGGCCTTGATTTTATAGCTGTTGAGTATTGATGAGCACACCCATTAATAATACACTGCATGTTCTGTTTCTCGACCCTGAGCTATACGCTACTGGCAGAAATATTCCCTTAAATTCATCTCTACCTACATGAGTTTGAAGTGGAATATTTAACTAACATCAACCGTGTCATTTTTCATCAGGTTATTTTTTAATGTTGTTGTCACTATACCAGTCAGAACAGGCACTTTGAATGACACGGTATCAATGATGACACAGAAAATGATCTAAAAAACACCCATTACACATGATCATAAAATGCCGCAGAATGTCAGACCTGAGTAAAGTGTTGGGTTGACCTTACAGTGCACCTCTCAGACAGATGGAGCCCTTATGCTCATTTACATATTCTCTGAGCCTGTACACCCTGTAAAGGAACATCTAATACCTTAAATGGCTAATTGCATCATGTTCACCAACACTCATAACAAAAAGTTTAATCCTATAATGTTTATGCCCGTAAGAGTTTGAATTTTCTAATATATCACAGTGTACACATCCTAAAACCAACAATTCACATGAAATATCCAGGCAGAGATTGTCTAAACATGCCTACATTTAAAATACAAGACAGTGTATTTGTATATTTTTTTGTAGCAACCCCTAATTCAAACAATCTAAACCGAGGAAAGACACTACAGACACTACAAATACGGGAATATTTGATGGTTTTATGGCTTTATCACTGACAGAGCTGCTTGTTCGGATTGGCTGCTTGGCAATGGAGCGGGGTTCAGGTTTATTCGTGGTGTTAGAATTAGCTAGGTACCGTCTGCCAGCACCTTTCATGCTGCAACCCTCTGCAATCTGCTGACCTTTCATCTCAAACCTCCACGTTTTGGCTCGCAAGAGGCTCTCCATGCAACACCTTTCCATCCAGGTACCACTTTGTGTTTTTTTAGTTAGAACTGATTCATGGAGCAAAGGCACATTATTAAGGTGTATCCGTCTGCAATTTCACTTTGTGTCTCAGACTCCAAGTGTAACTCTTAACATTTCACATTCTTGTTATTTTCATCCTGTTTTTAATTAAATGCATGCAATGTGGAAATCATGTTTGAAGCTAGCGAAATGATCTCTATATATTCTCCCAGCATGCGGTCCACAACAACCCATAAGCCATCGCTCACCCTGATGCACTTTCTTTTTTCTGAGCAGAGATAAGAGTGAATTTCTTTGAGCAACCAACATCACCCGTTGTGTCTGGGGTTTGCTGGAGCAGCCTGGAGCACTTGCAGGTTGAAAATGTAAACGTTTATATTATATAAGGTCATACATACTTGTCACTTTGCCTTCCCTATTATAGGAGGATAAGATTTCTACTGGTTGACAAACAGCCATTAAACAGAGTGAACCGTCGTAAAATGATTTCAATTCATTTTCTGTTTAAAACATTTGAATAAAAAGCAATGCACCATAGCACATTCCTGCTCCACATGCTATCTTAGCCAAAATGACAGAATGAAAATGACAGAATCTTGTTAGAACTTTCCAGATCTGTCATGTCCTCCATTGTGAAGTGTTTTGGAGTCTGATATGCTTTAAAACTCATAGATTGACAACTCAAACAGTCCTTTCTAGATCAAGTAGAAATGTCTCGCCAACACTCGAAACAACTACATATTTTCCCAAGAGCACATTTTATTTTTCAATGGCCTAACAACAGAATGGCAGCAGCGTATGTTTACATGGAAAATACATGTATCCTAAGCACTAACACAATTTTTCTCAGTGTTGCACTATGAAACGAGAGATGTAACTCATCTGTTTTTCACATGATAGGCAATACACATCATAAACAGATGCCTGATTCAACGCAGGTACAATACACTGTTGTCATTGTTGTTTTTGCTGTTGTTTTGTTATTGCCTGACAAAACATTTTCATCAGCATACTGACTGCCTGCCACTATTTGTGTAATTGAGACACACATATTTTATGCTCAAGTAATCTAAAGTTGCAGCATTAAAACGGTATTTTAGTTCCCAGGATACTAATGTTATTTAAATGGAGTGGATTAACTAATGTATTTGCGTTTTTAATCTTGTACGTTTGCCCATGTGCGGTTCAAACAGTCTGGCATAGAACAAGGCAGATGTGGAAGGCAAGCAGTGGTTTGCATGCAACACATGGGGGCAGTATTCGATTTTACTAGGTCATATTTATTGTCATGTCAATGTCATAGCAATCCATCAAACAGCAGAGATTTAGTCACTGATCCAAAGTGGGGGACCAAAATGGCCTCACACTGTTAGTATACAGTAGTAAAAAGAAGCACACAATACATAATGAACTTATCTTACAACACTTTCCTGTTGTTGTATCATGTTCCGCTGCCGCTTCTTTGTTACAGTCAGATATCCCTTGGCCTGAGTTTCTGTTTTTCTCAGCCACATAAATCAGGAGATTACTGCCAAAGGGGCTGCCTGTTAATGATGCAGTGCCTCAATTAGACCAAGCTACTACTCCCAATTTCCCTTCTGCCTTGTGGATCACACACTCAGAGAGGCAGAGCCAAAGCTAAGTTGGACAACAACACAGTGTAGTCAGTGCCCGGGCAGGTTATATCTGATGCTCTGCCGGGAACCGGCTGGCAGCTTCCAGATCCACCGCCTGGGCAGAAATAAAACTTGAAGATGCCGGCTCTAATTTTCTTGTTTTTGCATCACCTCAGCTGCAGCATTTTGTTTACACTGAGGAAGCAGTTAGTGTAATAGTTAAGGATACAAATGCAATAATGAACAGCACTTGCATTCAAACTTGGACTATTTTTTGTGAGGAGATTGTGGCAGGGTTTCTGATGCTGGAGACAAATTGTGTTTCAGAAGCATATTAGACATACTGGTACTTTCAAAACACTCTTATGCCCCCAAAACCATAAATAATTGCCCCGGCTTACTGTTTACGTTCATGGAGTTCAACTACGAATGAAAACACGTATGGCTGAAGGGGAAAGTATTAGAGTGTGAGCCATGGGACCCTCATGCGATTCCATGTAACCAATTTCAGCGGTCTACTGATGTGGGCAATTTCTCAAACCTGGGTGTTCTGTATTCCTTATTTGGATCACAGGGGGGAAAACGTATGGCTTTGTCACAAAAAAAGGGCAAGAACCTGATCACGTTATTTCTCAATTTCTCAGAAGAAGTCATGGATCACAAGCTGCTCTATCTGAGTCACAGTCAGCATACTGGAATTTCCTTTTGTGAACACACCACATATTTAGTTTGGAGCATGTTGTTGGGATACACATTTTCTCCAAGAGCTATCCTGCCTCTGAGAAGATTAAGTGTTGTGGTCCCCCACTCTGCCGCATTGACTTCAGCGTTTGGAGTATGCTGGAGTGACCTGCCATGGTGCTGAAAGGCTGCCTGCTTAATCAATCAACTGTACATTTTCTTTTGAACTTAATTGACTGATTTTCCCTAGACGGGCAATTCTGAGAGGGTGAACAGGGTGCAGTTTTCACACCGCTGTTCGCTGGTCCACATGAATTGCAATCTATTGATCATACTGCTGCAATGGGCAGGCCAAATCTGGGCCAGCTGCTTTGTCAGCAGTCTCTCTGTTGGCTCTTAGAAGGAAAAACACTGAGGGAATACAACCAGGAAACAATAAGAGAAACATCAATGGGATTTCTTTCTCTTTTCTTTTTTTTTTTTTTTTACATTAAATGGACGTTTTAACTTACCTTGAAGTGCAGATGTAAGATCTTTAATGGATATTTTGATCACTGAATCGTAAGACTTCAGAGTATACATTAATGTAGTGTGTGATGTGATTAACTGATGCGTGTGTGTGTGGGCTCTGATAATGTGTTATGATTGATGCCATTGAAGATTCACACCATGGCACATTGTGAAATTGCTGAAATGCCACTAGAGCCATTTAACAAACATGCGATTATAAACGGAGCTCAGTATATCAACTGTTAGTTTCCCTTCAGTGGTTAAGTCATTTAATCAAATATATCCGAAAGCCCACAAAAACTGTCAACGCGAGAAATGTGGGAAAATTCAGTTTAAAAGTAGCAAAACACTTGCATCATACGGAGTCATTAATTTTGCTGAGATGTGTGTGCATAAGGAGCTGTTTTTAAGTTTGAGTGATGGCTCTGTTG